GGTAAACAAAGTCTTTAAATTGTAATTCACAGAAACTAAAGAATGATATGTAAACTGGATTCTTGACAGGGCTTTTTTCCTTGTCTTGGCTTTTTGTCTTTGCTTTTTCTGTCTATGGAGCATTACTCATTCTCTAATAAACTTTCTTTTTGACTCCAACTCTGCCAAGCATTTGAATTCTTTCTTGTGCTCAGCCAAGACTCACCCTGCCCCCATCCCTCCCACCCCCAGAGTCTGTCTCTGTGCAGGGGTTGAATTCCCCTCTACTCAGGAAAATTTGCCCCATCCTGCCCATATCTTAGGCTTTTAGCACAAGTGATGCCATTTTGAGTTTGCGGGGGTTTTTTTCTTTATCAGTTGTGAGGATTATTGTCTTTGAAAAGCATTTTACATTATAATATGTTGTACAGACATTAACAATTATTGTCATTCTCCCTAAAGCAGAATTCTTATTGTGAGTTCAGAAGAACTGAATTCTAACACTGGGCCCATTATATACAGTGACTTAATTTTTATAAATCACTTAATCTTTTTAAGCCTCATTAATCTGCCTACCCCACGTAGTTACAAAGACTAATTGAGATAGCATATTTTAAAAGTTTAAAGGTGTTAAACAAAAAATTTTAATTTCCATGGCAGAGAGTCTTTTTAAAAGAGAGGGTTTATTAGGCCATTGCTAGCAAAAAAAGACAGGTCTTGGGGCATGGGGTCTAAACCACCAGCAACATGGCTGGGTGGGAAAGAAATGTCCATCATCCCAGTTTTCAAGCATTTTTACACATCAAGTTGTGGGGAGAGAGGAAAAAGATGTAAGGCTTGAAAGGATTTTTATTAGCTATAGACAGAGGGGATGGGAGAAGGTGAAGCAGGGTTAGTTCTAAGATAGGCACAGCTGAGCCCACAAGGAAGAAGTGTCCACTCCCGCGGATTGGCTATGGGCAGCAGACTGGAAAAGTTCAAGTATAAATAAGAAGTGGAGACTCTTGGAGTTCTGTAGTGCCTGGCTATTCTCTCTTTTGGATAATTGAGGAAATAGCCACCTGGAAATTAATCCTAAATTCCAACAGACATACAGGAATGTGAACAGTCTTTTGTCAGTTGGCCCACAGCTATTAACAGGTGAACTGTTCTGTCTCTTTATCTCACTCTCCAGCTGTTGTAATTTTGATTGAGAACATCTCCGAATTTTTTTTGTCAAAAGATTTGATCAACCCAATTATTTAAAACTTGTATCACTATTATAATTTAAGAACCCTAGCATCTCCTTTCCCCTCAACTGCAAACTCCAATTTATCTGCCTTTCTCAAGTCACAAGCTCCTGGGGCCTGTGGACAGTTGGACTCGAATGAGGTCTTGGGTTCTATGGAAGTCACGGCTCAGAGGACCGCTATAAGGGCTGCTCTACTGTCCACTAGCCCAGCTCCTAGAAACATGTATGTGAGGAAGCAGGATTGGATCGGCAATGGGCAAGAAAGTAGCTGGGAAGATGCTTGCCCCTAGACATCTCTGGAACTCTTTGTCAGGGTGATTAGTTTAGCACTGTATGAGAGTTTGGGGAATTCCTGGCCCCTAAGAACCAAAAAAGGAGTTGTATAGCTGCCCCTAAGCTGGGAGACTACAAAGAAATAAGGGAGCAGGAAGACTTCCTCCAGGACCTTCAG